ATCCCTATTTCAAGGTCGCTATGGGTCAGAATTGACTCAATGGCACTCAATAACAACAAATAATTTATTGACAGAAATTACAGTAGGTTGTGAAACCCTACCCTTAATCAATGTAATACATCAATGACCATTAATCACCCCCTCTTTCTGCTCCTTGAAGTGCAGTCAAGTCAGTTCCAACTCATAACAACCCTGTATATGGTTTCCAAGGAGCAGCTAGTGGGCTTGAGTCACTGACCTTGCAGTTAGCAGTCCAGTGCTTATTGTACAGCACCACACCGGTCCCTGGTAGCCACTAATAACCTTTATTCTTTATACATCTGCTGTTTTTGTCTTTTTATATATGTGAGGTCATATAATATTTGTCCTTTTGTGATGGACTTTTTTCACTCAGTATGTCTTCCAGCTCCATCCATATCATAGTGTGTATCAAGATTTGATTTCTCCACTGGCTAAGTAGTATTCCACTGTATGTATGACTATGTTGCAGATTTTGTTGATCCATTCATCTGTTCCTGGGCATTTGGGCGATTTCCATCTTTTGACTCTGCTTGCGTCTCTACTTTCAAATCTTTAGGGTATATATTTAGGCGTGAACTTGCTGAATCATATGGTAGTTCTAGTTTTTTTTGAGGAATTGCCACACTGTTTTCCACAATGGTTATACCATTTTGCATTACTACCAGCGGTATGCCAGGGAGTCAGTTCCAACTCACATTGACCTTGTACAAGGTTTCCAAGGCAATAAATCTTTATGGGAGCAGACAGCCTCATCGTTCTCTTACAGAATGGCTGGTAGTTTCGAACTGCTGACCTTGAGGTTAGCAGCCGGACTCATAACCGTTATGCTACCAGGTTTCCAATTCCCTCACACCCTTGCGAACATTTGTTATTTTCTGTTTCTTTTTTATATTAGACATTCTGTTGTTAGGTACCATCGAGTTGGCATCTAACACATAGCAACCTTATGCACAACAGAATGAAACACTGCCCAGTCCTGCGCCAACCTCACAATCTTTGCTATGCTCATTGGGGGGTCTTCCTCTTTTTTGCTGACCCTCCACCAAGCATGATGTCCTTCTCCCAGAACTTGTCCTTCCTGATAACATGTCCGGAGTATTAGAGACGAAGTCTGGGCATCCTGGCTTTCAAGGAAAATCTGGCTGCACGTCTTCTAACACAGATTTAGTGAAATGGTATTTAGCTGTTGTTTTGATTGCATTTATTGTTTCTATTAAAAGTTCCCAACCAATATGCCAAGGCCCACTGGCACACCTGTGGCTGTGTTAGAGGTGTTCCAAGCTATTGAACCCCGTAGGTCTCTGAGCAACTGGAGTTCCTATTCAAGCCATCTTTCCTCTTACCGTCCCATATAAGGATTCCCATTGTCTACACGTGCTGTGCGGCAAGTACAGTTAGGAAGTTTTGCTTGACAGCACATAACATCAGGGTCTCAATTTAATACTCATTCAAACATGAACCAACGTGATATCCTGGGGGAATAATTACTCTCAGGCCACTTCTGTGTAGCTTCTAACAGGATGAAAATAAAAGTCAGCCTTTTACTTATTTAGTAGTAGCAGTATACTGAAGTACACTTCATAAATCCTTTGTGGAATGAGGCAGGTTATAAATAATCAAATATGTGGCTTCTTAGTTTTCCTAACAATGTTAACATTGCTACTGGCCAGCTGGACCAGAACATCTGTCTTTCCCATCAACAGCAGAGGAGAAATGGCTCCCTTCCTTGAACTGGGAGCTGGTCAGCTTTTGTGAAAAGACATATGAGAAGAGTGGACTTTGGGAAAGATCAACTAAGATGTTCTTTCAGCTCAGGTTCAGGAGTTCTATTCCTGTTGTGAATTAGATGATCAGGAAGTAACAGTGTTGGCTGGCACCTCAGCTCTCTGCAGAAACACCACTAAGCCAGCGTGCAATACCTTAGCCTCAGCTTTTGAAAACTTTTTTTTTTTTCCCCCCCCCTCTAAAGGCACATGAAAAACTGTTCTGAATCCTTTAATTATATTGCAAGGTACCTGAGATGGCTTACCCACTTTGGGCACCTAAAGGAGCATGGGAAACTCAATTTATGTTGAATTCAAGAGCTGAAGTTCCCAAGTAAACTAGAACCATATCTTATGTTATAAAGCTTTTGTAAAAAAGAAACCTAACCCCATGAAGCTGAAAATTCAGCTCTAGGTAAATAATTTCATCATATGTCCTGATGTGGCAATGTGGGAGAAAGCAGTGGATCCCCAAGTCAGTGCGAACCACAAGGTCGGTGATTCAAACTTACCAGCTGCTCTTTGGAAAACCTGTGCAGGGTCACTAAGAGTTGGAATCAACTTGAAGGCATGTAACAACAATAACAACAACATGATACAGTATGGGCAAATTAATTTGGATAAAGGAGTTTGCTTTGGATTGATCTGTGTTCCCCAAAGAGATATGTTGAAGTTTTAAACATTGATACCTATGTTTGGAAACAGTGTGTTTGAAGGTGTTATCAGTTAAATTAACATGAAATTGGGTCCTAATCAAGCTGTGTGAGTGCCATCCTTCAAAAGAGGCAGGAAGATTCAGAGAGACTTACATTGAAAAGACAGACTCCTTTGTGAAAATGCATCTACAAGCCAAAGACCTACCAGGAGTGCCTGGAACCACAGGAAGCCAGGAAAAGGTAGGAAGGAATTTCTCTCTCTGAGGTTTCAGAAGAAATCTACATGGTTAACATTCCAATTTGGACTTCTAGCCTCCAGAACTGTAAAACAGTACATTTCTGCTATTTAAAGCCAAGAGTCCTGGTGTGGTTCTATGGGTTAATGCACCGGACTGTAACGTTGGTTTGAACTGCAAGTTAGGCGGTTCAAGTTCACCAACAACTCCTTGAAAACCCTATACAGGGTCATTATGGGTTGGAACCGACTCAACGGCACTTTACAACAATTAGTGACTACAGCAGAAAGTTAGGCAGTTCAAGCTCACCAGCGGCTCCTCAGAAACCCTATACAGGATTGCTATGGGTCGGAATCGACTCGACAGCACGTAACAAAAACAACAAGGAAACTAAGTCTGCTTTCAAAATTCTCCTTCTGTACAGGCTATGTTGTTGTTGCTATACAGTCGGTTCTGACCCATAGCAACGCTGTATAGGGTTTCCTAGGAACAGCTGGTGAGCTTGAACTGCCGACCTTGCAGTTCAAATGGCTTTGCAGTCTGGCGGACTCCATACAGGCTATAGTAAAAGTTAAAGTTCTTCCCTGGACATCCGTGAGTTAAAGCAAGTCTGAAGGGGTGATGCTGCCAGCTTCAGCACCTCTGGTTGCCCTGCTTGGCAGCCCAGGAAAGCCATCTCTGGTCAGTTCCTGAAAGAGAATTTAGTTGCCAAATCCAGAGGGGAAATGGAATTGTAGAAGGCTCTGTAATTGGCATACAGAGTTTCAGGGCACTTAAAGTTATATTTGAAAGAAAAAAATATATATATTTAAAGCTGTCTGCCTAGATTACAGAGGATTCAAATAACTCTAAGAATCCTTCATGAGTAAAACCACGTAAAACTCCTGGAACTTATCAACAGTTCTATAGAAACTAGGACCGCAAACCACACCTAGTTACTACAAGAACATTCACTGCAACCTGGTCTAGACATGACCACCTCAACAAAGTCCGTAGTTAAATACAAGGAGACCCCTTTATAACAGCCAAGTCTGCTAGAAAAGAAACTGTATGAAATGTGGAATCATGTCCCTAAAAAGCCTCGTTTAACAGGGAAATACTCCATGATCATCCCACCGCACACCACCACACCAGTACTCTTTATGGTGCTGGGAACTCAGGAATGCAGCTCAGAAAACAGTATAGACCCAACGGCCAAACATTTAGGGTTCACGCCAACTCTCTTCCACCCATTAATGTTCCTTTCCGCAGATTCTCAAGAACCTCCATCCTTGACAGAAACTTGGAAGTGGGGAAGGGAATGCCTAGGGAAGGGAGTGAGAAAAACCTCTGGAAGGAGGCCTGCACCCCCTGTAAGCTTCCCTTTAGGAATGGCCAGCGTCCCCCGAGCCATTGCGCTGCTGGAGAGGTCCTGTAGGACCTCCAGATGCGCTTTCCAGCTGGTAAAGGTGCCCAAGGCCTCTCGACGGTCCCCTCTGGGCCCAGCTGCCCAGTTTGCAGATCCCTCAACCCCGCACCCCTCTTCTCCCAGCCTCCTGAAGAGCTGCTGTAAGCTTAGGGAGCTTCTGGGCTTTCCAGGTCAGGTCGGGGAATGTGCCCACGCCCTCCAGTGGGGCGCCCAAGGGGGCAGCCCCGATCCAGAAAGCCGACACAGCCACCTCATCTCAGCAGGGCCTCCGGCCGCGCGGTAACCCGGAAGTGGCGGCGGGGGGCGGGCAGGCGTGCGGGAGCTGGGGCGGCGTGC